TGTCACCGCCGTCTGTCACCGCCATCCGGGGCCGATTCGAGAGTGGCTCATACATTCACGAGCGTGTGTACAGTGCATGGGAAGCCGGCGGTGTCCACGCCCGCCGGTCTCGTGTGGCCGGGCTGGAGCCGGAAATAGACGCGCGCCGCTCGACCGGCCGGCGGCACATACATTTGAACAGCTGCCGACCGATCGGGGCTGCCGACGCAGGCCTCCTCCAGTGGCCGAAGACCAGGCGGTGGGGGCCAGAGCGGCGCAAAGGCGCACACGAGGCGGCCGCGGCCGTACATCAGCGGCCAGCGCCCAGGCCACGCCACGGGAACAGATGCCGCGCGGTCGGCTCCGTTATCAACTGCCGGAACGAAATGGCCGCACTGGGAGGAGGCTCAGACTTTTTATTGGCGTAGCCATGCGAGTTTATAAACAGGGCACAGCTCGTACACCGCAGGGCATAATGCGATATCTTGATGTGATTGAAGAACTGCTTATTATGGACGACTTTTAGAAACAATTGCCTTCATTTATATAATTTCTGGCCTAATCAGACGAGCTGAATGTCCGTCCCACTTGTAGATTTTAAGTTAAACTTAAATTTTATTGACATTAGCTCCGCTTCTGCAATAAAAACCGGAAACTCTCCTCAATATCAGGTACACATTGAACATTAGTTGTAACTTTTGTGACATTGTGTTGTGTCGTAATTTTTGTTCTTTGTGTTCCATTCAAAGCAAAAACAATTCAAATGGAATTTAAGGAAAATTCATATGTTCTCAACAGAAATATGCTAAGTGCACGACGCTTGGATAAAAGCGTTTCGAGTGTCTCAACCCGTTTCGAGAGTATATTGTGGTCAGTCGTCCTGCACCCTCGTGTCAGCCAGCAGATATGCGAAATGAAGCGCACATAACCTTATATAGGGATGACTAGGGTTACCCGCGTGCTCCGCAACGCGAAGGGGGGATTTTTTGACCCGTGGGTATTGGGTTGGTCTGTGTCGATTTGGTTGGTAGATATCCATTTCGTTCGATTGCTTTTTGACGGCCAAGCATTTTGTAAGAAACAAAAAGATACATCGCATCGAGGTGCCCGTGTCGTATTATCATGCGTTCTACTTTAGAATGATTCGAAAACTGGCGTGAAGTCTTTTGAGGGCCATCGATGAATTTCGCTAAAAATGACGATGCAATGGTTTGGAAAATTTACGTTTTTAAGAATACTGTTGCTCATCATGCAAAAATGAGGACTTAACCTTGGTCAGAATTGAATGCTCTTTCCAACGGTGCCATTTTTGATTGCCAGATACATCAGATCATGGAGCAAAGCCATTTTGATGAACAAAGTGACACAAAATTGACAAACACCATTTTCTCCCGTGATTTGTACCACCTTGATTTGGATCAATCAGCTTTTCACAATTTTTATATGATAGGCGGTACATTTCCTTGCCCACAGGCGTTGTTTCAACTCGCTCTGTTTAACGGTCACCTAAAAATAAAATCAATTCCAAAATCCGTCAAAAAACGCATTTTTTCAACAAAAGTGCCCTCACGGGTGCACGTGGCACGTGCCTTCCTCTGCATCGTACACCATTCGACAGCCCGCTCAATTATCTACACGATGCTGTTTTCCCCGTGCCGATCGGGCCCCTGGTCACCAAGATATTGCACGGGGACCGGACCCGTGTCGGCCAAAATTAGCCGTTTTCGCCTGATTTCGCACGCCGATTTATACATGTAAAGTCTATGACGCGAATTTGCACTTTTTGAGCACGCGCCTCGCGCTCCCTATCAATCCGATCGAGCTGAGACCCCTCAAAGGCACGTCGCGCATCCTTGATCTATAAGTTGTGCAAGTTTCACCGCGCTAGGTGCAACGGTCTGGTCTGTAGTCCACGCAAAGCACCACCAAGTCGGGACCTCGGTAACGGACAGACGCACCCTCCTCAAATAGTAATATAGATAAGTATACCGATGCTTGCATATATAGGCAATAGGCATACATGCTAATGCGTATATATGCCAGCATATGTGGAAGCATATACTATATATCCGTGTATACGAATACTCACTGATGGACTGTGCGATCTACATTGCGCCGGTTCGTCTGACCGCCTTTTTCGGCCACTAATGGATCCACTGCCCGGATACCTTGTCTGCGTTAATTGCTCGTCTGGGAGCCGTCCGTCATCCAGTACGAGGGAGAGGGAGAGGGAGAGGGAGAGCAGCTCTCACCGACTGTCCGCGACCCCTCTCCCTCGTTCCTGTGACCCGGATAGGACCGCTGCCGCGCCATTGGACGGCGCGCCGAGGCGAACCAGCCATACATCTGCGCCGAGACAAAGGCCCGCACCGCACCAACTCAATGCCCGAGTTCGGCTAACTTTTACCCGAAACATTGTTTTGCAGGACCATTTGCCGACGCCTTCCAAAGTTAGAAGTCCTAAACAGGGACCGGGTAGACGACAAAAATGGAGACGAATACTGATGGAGAGACAGCAATTGATAACATGACTAAAAAGTGGACGGACGACCGACGATGAGAGAAAGATAGAGAAGAGAGAGAGAGAGAGAGAGAGAGAGAGAGAGAGAGAGAGAGAGAGAGAGAGAGAGAGAGAGAGAGAGAGAGAGAGAGAGAGAGAGAGAGAGAGAGAGAGAGAGAGAGAGAGAGAGAGAGAGGAGAAGAGACAGACAAACGGATGCTCGATTATCGTCGTCTGCCGTGCTGCTCTTCATCTTCGTTTGAACATCGCTGGCGATAGTTGACAGCGGCATTGTATCAACCTTTTTGTGGGCTGTCCTTCGACCATTTGACCTCCGACGGCAGTCTTTTGAGCTCCCGACGACCCTTTGACCTTCCCTGAGCGGCTCTCTGACCTTTCTCGATGCGTTGCTTCTCTGACCTCCCCGATAGCCGGCTGACCCCCTCCTGTCACTCCTCTGACTGATCCAGTCTGACCCGTGACCTCAGTTGGTCCAGCAGAGCTGGTCCTCTGACCTTCCGCTGTCGGTCCTCTGACTATCCCAATCTGACCCGTGACCTCTGTTGCACCGGCGCTGGTCCTCCTCTGACCTCCCCCTGTCGGTCCTCTGACCTCTCCTGTCTGACCCGTGACCTCTGTCGGCCCCTCAGCGCTGGTCCTCTGACTTCTCCCTGTTAGCCCACTGACCTCCCTGAGTCCCTTGTCTGACCCGGGACCTCTGTCGGCCCCTCAGCGCTGGTCCTCTGACCTCTCGTCGGCCCTCTGACCCGTGACCGCTGCCAGCCCCGCGGCACTGGTCTGGTCTGGCTCTGGCAGATATGGTCGCCGACTGTACACGGCTCTGCGCTCGACAGAGGCCATCAGTGTGCGGCTGCCGGCCGCTGGCACGCTGATGGCAGCCATCGGGCGCTGCTGGGAGCCAGACGGAGCTGCCAGCCAGATGGACACCATAGCTGACTGGGCAGACAGACGGCATATATGGAACGGCAGTCGGCAGTCGCCTTATAGAACTGCCGGACGGTCAGCTCAGAAAGACTGATGAGCGGTTGAACGGACGGCGTCCTCTTGTGTAGAACTGCCGGGTGGACTTTTTATTTACAAAATGCAAAACCGAAAAGGAAAAGGAAACTAACGAACGGACAGGATATAAGCTGGGCTGTTGGTCAGACAATGCATTGTCTGTGCACACATGCACTGCAATGCATGACAAAGCACTACAACGTCGCTCCAAATGATAGGGGAAGTTGGGGGAACGCCGAAGACTTTTTTTCTGACGCCCGTAGCACGCAAGGTAGACAACATACGCTATTCTTGTTGGCGTCATTCGAGAGGCCAGTCTTTTGCCTTTCAAACATACCAGGCGCATTTGATGAATTCGCATACCGTTAAGCGCACAAACTAAAAATATCAAAGAAGTGACTTTTTCGGCGTTGCCCCGGACTGCGGGGAAAGCCGAAAATGGGAGAAATGATCTACGGGGAATGCCGACATTGATGTTTTGCCATTTTATCTCAAACTTTATCCAGAATTCATCAAAGCTGACACACGTTTCAAGAGCTTGAGGACGCGGTGCACACTGGAAGTTATAATTGTGTGATATAATAAGAAAATGCCAAGTAAATCATTCCTTATAGGTAACAGGCCGTTGTGTCGGTTGAAAGTGTAATTTGTGTGACTAAAAATACGCGTTGCTATTCTACATCAGTAAAGTCCACGTAGCGTGCTTTTAACACGTGCGTAATCGCACGTTTTCGGCATTACCCCAGCCAGCCATACTTTCATTTGCAGGCCCATAACTTTTCAACGTGCTGTATAAATTTCAAATAGGCAGCACACTTATGCAAAGACATGCTAAAGATTACTTGACCGAATTGGCCAGACAAACGGTAGCATAATGAGTAAAAAATGCAGCTTCAAAGGCGCATGTAGTACAAGGGAAACGTACCTTGAAAACGCTCTTGGCGCCCTCACAGTCGAAGTATTCCGAATGACGACTCGTAACAAACATGCGATAATTGTAGTCACTTAAGCTTCAGAGCATCACTGACAGGTGACATCCATGTTTTACGGTTTTCGAAATATCTCGAATTTCGGCTTTGCCCCAACTCCGGCATTGCCCCAACTTCCCCTAATCCTGTTACGAGACAAGCTTTATTATAGGCGAAAGTTCGAGTGCTTGGGCCTGCATACAGAACCTATCGTTCATAGCTCTTGGTCTGACGGTTTAACCTAACCAGACATGCCAAAAGGAAAGCGTCATTTCCTCAGCGATAAGCGTTGCTCTTCGGAGAAACGATACCAAACTTAAGACAACTTTAAAATCAGCACACACGGCCTGTTCCGCTGATAACGTTATATGTTGTTTATGTTGGACGTTATAGCAACCAACCGCCGTGACCTGGTCCGTAGAGCGGGCGTTACACGCTGTCACTACGGAGGGCCGCACGATTTCACTCGCGTGTTGCTGACCCGAGAGGGTCACCCTGTGAATGCGGCCGGCTCTGCGGTGTATCGGCGCTCGATGTCGCGCGTGGACTTCCTTGCATTTAACCTGCAGCTCTACGCCGCCGACTGGCTTCCGATCTACTCGGCACCGACAACAGACACCAAGTGGGAACGACTACGCTGCATCCTGACAGCCCAGCTGGATACCGTGGCACCCCTGCGGCGGGTACGGGAGAGGCGGCCGGCCGTTGTCCCTGTCACACCGGAGACCCAGCAACTGCTGTGAGACCGCCGCGCCGCACTCGGCTCCGCTGACCGGGCCGAGTACAAGCGGCTGAACCGGCTGTGCCGCGCGGCGGTGCGTGCCGACAGCCGGGCGCGTTACGAGGGGGAGCTGGCGCGGGGCGGCCGAGCTGCGCTGTGGAGAGTGCTGCGGCCAGTGATCGGTCGGAAGCAGCAGCAGTGCGCCGTGCCGAACATCACACCGGACGCACTGAACGACTATTATGCGACTATCGGGCCGCGCACAGCTGCCGGCGTACCTGCGCCCGCGGCGCCCGTGACTACGGTACTCCCTCGAGTACTAACGTGCAGTTTCCGTGTCGGACCTGTCAGCATGGACGAACTCTACTCGGCGCTGTTAACTATGAGGTCGTCCAGCTCTACCGGACTCGACGGCATCAGTGTTTACATGCTGCAGAGGTGCTTTAACGGGATGGGCCACGCGCTGCTTGACGTGGTGAACTCCAGTCTTGTAACCGGAACCGTCCCCAGTGAATGGAAACATGCTCTCGTGACACCCATCCCGAAGGGTAATATGTTATCGCGCGACCCGTCTGACACGAGACCCATTTCTTTACTCCCTGCCGTTATGAAGGTGGTGGAGCGTGTCGTGCAAGGCCAGCTGTCTGGGTATTTAGAGCAGCACGCACTTCTAGCAGATGCCCAGCACGGCTATCGCAGGCATCGTTCAACCGAGACAGCACTTCATGTCATTACCGATAGAGTGTTGCATGCTATGGACAGGGGCGACATATTGATACTAGTACTGCTAGATCTTTCGAAATGTTTTGATGTGGTGTCACATGCTAAGCTGCTGGCTAAGCTTGCCCTCTACGGAATCGACACTGAGTGGTTTCGTAGCTATCTGTCCGGCCACACGCAGCAGGTCCGCGTGCAGTCGACCGGAGGGCGTCATTTATTGTCTCGCACTCGAATGAACAGCATAGGAGTATTCCAGGGAGGAGCGCTCAGCTGTATCCTCTATATGCTTTTTGCAAATGATTTGAGCCTGAGGCTGCCCAGTGACGTCACAATAGTGCAGTACGCCGATGATACGCAGCTCCTAGTGTCCGGCCGTAAATGCGATATCCAGAGGCTTATCGGTAGCATGGAGGACGCGCTGTGTCATGTGTATGACTGGTTTTGCCACAACGGCATGAAACTGAACACTAAAAAGACACAGATGATCGTGCTCGGAACGCCTGCAATGCTCCGAACACTGCCGCCTGTCGTTGTCCGTTTTTGCGGGGACATGATTACCGACTCGAGAGAGGTCAAGAACCTCGGTGTGTACATTGACCGTCACCTCAACTTTGAGGCTCACGTGACATACATCTCACGGAAATGTACGGGTATTCTGATAGGGCTGTCACACGCGCGTCACGTGCTACCGAAACAGACATTGAAGGTGATTGTGGAGGCGCTGGCGATGTCAGTGGTGCGATATTGCCTGTCCGTGTACGGCACATGTGGTGTGACCCAGCTCGGCCGGATTCAGAAAGTTGTTTACTTTTGTGTTCGCGTCGTGACGGGCAAACGACGCTTTGACCATGTCAGCGGGGCGCTGCAGGAGCTCCGCTGGCTGAACGCAGAGCAGCTTGCTGCCTACCACACTGTGTGTGCGCTAGCGCGTATAATTGAGACGGGACAGCCTGAGTACCTGTACAACACCATTGGACCGAGAGCGGACCAAAGGCATGCCCATGCAACACGACAGTCGGGGCTAATCACATGCCCCAACATTCGTACCGAAGCTGGAAGGAGGAGAATGTGTTTTCGGGGAGTGAGGCTACTGAACAGTGTGCAGGCTGTTCCCGGCGAGCCTGGGTTCCGCCGAACTGTCAGGCGGCTCGTGGGATCGGCTGGCGCGCTGTGATCAGTTGGTGTATGTATGATGGGTTTGTGTGTTTAGTGTAAATGTGTCCTCATTGTGTCCGCATTGTAACTGACGTAGAAGAATGAAAAGCCATATTGTATGGATTTCTTTTGAATACATCTGTATCTGTATCTGTATCTAACCGAGACGCCGATTAGGCCGTCGTCTTCATCAACCAAGTCGGTCAGTCTGATAAATACACAATGCACACATCCGTTCAATGGAGGTCGGACGGCACTAAGAAGTGAGAAATGTTCAGTTGAGGGTTACTGATGAGAGTTTTTCATGCTATTTCACTAAATGTCAGCTGTCAAGAGCCGCTGAGGGGTCAAGCTTTGTCATGCCCCTCTCCCATTCACCCATCTAGACAACTGAGTCCGGTTAGAGGGCTGTCTGTGGTCGGACAGAGGCCAGGGCCGCTTGGGACCGCGCCGGTCAGAGGGCCATCTGCCCTGTGCAGTTGGTCAAAGGGAACACGTCAAAGGTCTGGAACCAGTCTGAGATCTATTTGTACTCGGTTGGTCGGTCAAAGGATGCGTCAAAGGAACAAACAGGAGACAGGCTAGTGTGCCGATCAAAAGGACAATCTAATTGCCGCGATAGATTAGCGGGAGCCTCTGGCTATCTTCATGTCCACGCTCGCCGTTGTATTGCCACCATGCCCCCTCTGAGGCTCCGCCTCGGTCCTATACCGTCCACCGTTGACCGCGCTCTATCGGCCGGGCCCCGAGGCGATTCTAACGGGGTCAATGCAGTAGAGGCGAGCGAAGACGTCAGTTGGGTCGGTCACGACAGCACCACGGAAGAAGTGGAAATATGGCAACGCGGAAGCTGGGGGGAGGGGGGGGGGGTGGTCACGCTCTCCTCGGTAGGTAGCTGAGAGGTGTGTGTGGGGTATGGGAGAGCGTGGAAGACGAGGTATGGAAGCAACGGTGCGTGAACTGTAATAGCTGGGCTGAATAGATCGGTTTGACTGTATGCGAGTCAAACAGATGACCAAATGTCAGATTGAGATAATGAAACTAACTTTCCGTTTTAGTGACCGGCTTTGCATCAGTTCAGTGATGCGAGCCACGAACACAGTTAGATTTCGTCTCCGGTTTCTCAAAGTGGCAGAAATGGGAGACGATATACTGCGATTGTGGGCAGAACCTTTGCTGAATCCTGACACTGACGGAGCCTGTTCCGCGAATTTAGCATAAGGTTAACCGTCCCCGCCCGCGGCTTCGGCAAACTTTCTAATGCAATTAGTCTCCCACGCGCGGCCGACTAAGCTCGGCTGTGCAGAATCGATGGCAATAGGCGTTAATTGATGTACTTCCTGGTAGAACAGGCCCAATATCTGTCATTGTTCGGTGAGACTGTCCCATACAATATGTCTCCCAGCCAGCAGGCAGGATTGCAAGCATGCAGTTCATAATATTGGTAATGTACTGAGCTGACTCGGTCGACGGCCGCCCCACGCTCCACAATCGAATGAAATATGGAAATCTCTCACGTTTCGTGATCGACGGCGATATTGAATATTACCAGTGCTCCCTGAGCTTCTATCACAACGAGACATCATTCAATGATATTATCCCGGGAACAGCCTGCACATACCGCATATTGCATGCATTATTCAGCTTTTTGCTGAGATTGCATATGACAATGCATCAAAGGCGAATATAATTATAAGGCAACCAACGACCCACACTCATGGTTGGAGATATTGCGACAATAGAAAGAAATCAATTGACTCTGTCATACTGATTTGCTATCCTGTATTCAATGAGAAACGTGCTCCGATTTACCGATTAACCGCACAATGACAGCCTGTGTCCTGTGTTTCAGTGCCCCCAGAAAGCGCCACCATCCACGGGCCGGCCGGGGGCCGGGTGGTGGCCGGTCAGCCGGTGACCTTGACCTGTCAGGTGACGGGGTCCGAGCCGGCGCCCGTCATCAGCTGGCGGCTGGGCTCGCTGCCGGCGCCCGGCGCCCGCCAGCAGCCCAGTGCTGACGGCAACGGTACCGTCTCTGAGCTGACCTTCACCCCCGAGGTGTCCGACCAGGGTCGACCCGTCACCTGCAGTGCCGCCAACCCTTCCGCCGGCGGGCCGCCAGTAGAGGACATTCTACCTCTGCACGTGCAGTGTGAGTGGGGTACAATGGTGCTGCGCCGACAGACGGGGGCAGTTAGATGTCCCGTCTGCCGCGCCCAGTGGGCCGGCCAGGCGATAACGACCGCGTCTGAAAGCCGGCGACGCCAGTCACTCGCGGATGGGTCGGCCGGCCAGCTAGGCATTCGGGGCGACGATTACCGGGTGTAATAACAGAAAACGAGCTCTGCAGATTTCGTATTTGGGGCATTTGGCGCGGCGTTCGTCATAATTCAGTAGTGGACGGGCGTGATCGCCGCTCCAAATTAGCCAATCTTCCTCGTTAGGCGAAGCACGACTGCGATATAAATCACATACAAATGTGCCATTGAGAGCATATTCTATCCATTTGTCTGAGTTTATGCTGAACTTCGTTCTTCTTTTGTATTGATTATATTCAAGTAGTTTGTTATGGGATGTAAGTGACCCTAGCATTAAACAATTCGACTCATTTTACAGCATCGACGGTCAAGGGCGTGAGACGCTTTTAACTTCCATCCGGCGTCAGATTTGTCGCCTGTGTTCTGCTTGCCGTTTTACACCGTTCATCCCCTCAGTCAGATCCACCGTCCGTGTCACTGTCTACCGTTTTACACCGTTTCTCCTTCTCCTTCAGACTGTGTCACTGTGTGTCATTTTGACACCTCTCCTCCTTCATCAAACCAAGGGGCTATGTCGCTGACTGTCTGCCGCTTTACATCGCTTCTCTTCCACTGTCAGGCCCGCTATGTATGTCGCTCACTGTATGTCATTTTGACGCCCCTCCTCTGCTCTCAGACCCGCCGTCCGTGTCGCTGACTGTGTGTCACTTTTACACCGTTTCTCGCTTTCTCAGACCCGCCGTCCGTGTTGCTGACGCTGCGGCCTGAGCGGCCCCTCCGGGAGGGACAGACAGCGCGTCTCTTCTGCAGTGTGCGGGCTGAGCCGGCCGTCACACAGGTCCGCTGGAAGCACGAGGTAAATGTCCGAGACACGGCAGGACGGCGACCGTCCGACGGTGGCTATACGTGGGCGACCAACAACACACTGTTCGAGATGACAGGTTCGTCTGTGAGAGATATAGAGAGCTGTAAACAGACCAGTCTGTTGAAAAGAACGAAAACCAGCAACACGAAGGAAAACAACACGAAACAGGCGAACTCCATTTGTTTTTGGGAGTGTTGTTTTCCATGTCAGCGTTTCCCGTTTCTGCGGTGAACTTGTGTACGCAAGTACGTAGGCAGGTAGGATGCTAATAATTTACCCCTCTAATTGGATAGCTCACTCGAATTCGCACAGAGACTCCTCTTCTAAACTTTTCCCAGCGAGGCCCACAGATAAATAACTCTGCAGAGTGGTAGTTATGTGTACCTGGTGCAGACTGAACGACGCGTCCGACTCGAGGTCGCCATCATTGATGCATTGTTTCAGGGCCGCTGGCTGCCCGAGCTGTCCCCGGGGAGCGCAGAGACAGCGCCGAACGGCAGCAGCGAACTGACACTGGCCAATGTGCGGGCCAACGTCTCGGGAAACTACACCTGTCAGGCCACCAGCCCCCTGGGAACCGTCCAGAGCCAGCCCGTCACGCTGCGAGTCCAGTGTAAGACACGGCTAATTCAGCCCGAGTTCCGCGTTCGACGCGGATGGCTCATTCAGAGAAGGACGGCACTCGAATGTATCTCTGATGTGGGCTAGTTCAATTACAGTCGTCAAACTAGGTCAATACAATCACGCTTCATAGAACTTAACCCTCGCTGGACCTATTGGCTTTCTACATACGCGCCGGCCGAGGGGGGGGGGGCGGGTACGAGCCCCCTCGCCGTTTCGCCCCTGGTGGAGCTAGCGCGTCGCAGAAAAAACGAGCGTGTGCGCCGTTTCGAGACGCAGAGATTGGTACCCGATCTTAACCCTCGCATGTGTGCGGCGTTTGCCAGCTTCTAATGTGTAGGGGGGGGGGGGTCGGTTGGACCCCCCCCTTGCCGTTTGGCCCCTGATCGAGCTAGAGCTTCGCGGAAAAAACGAGCGTGTTGCCCGTGACGAGAGGAAGCCGATGATACCCAATTTTAAGGTCCTAGGTCATTGGTTGACCTTCCAGGTCAGGTCAATGACCCAAAGTCGGGAAAATCCGGACCTGTTAGAAAGTCGGAAAGTGTGGCTGCTAAGGGGTTTTTCGGGGTGCTGATCACGAATATCGTGTAAGTTTTGATCACAGATGATGTCTTGAAGCATTTAGACCAGGTCGGGTCAGGTCAGGTCAGGTCAACCAGTAGGCGTCGTGACGGGTATTCGTAGTACGTGTCAACCGCCTCTGACAGCTTCGTAACATGTTACGAAGTCACCAAAACTACTTCGTAAATGTTCAAATGGTTGCTAAATTCGAATTCAGCTCCAAAAACTAGCCTAGAAACATGTAAAACTCGAAAAAGTGACCCGAGGTCACCCGAGGTCACCAAAGGTCAATGACCTGACCTGACCTTCAGGTGACCTTGACACACACGGGAGTAACATCAAATCACATGTTTGAACGTTTGAAACCACGAAAAGCTTGCAAACACGCGGCTAGTGCGAGCCGACATACGCGAAATCGCGATTCCGGCCAAACATGGTCTCGGAAAAGAGGTCACAGGTCAAAGGTCATTTGGGTCAGGGTCATGAAATTTTCAGGGTAGGTGTCAAATTGATCAATGCGAGGGTACTGAAAGTTTCGTCGCGATCAGCCGCTTTTTACGCGAGTTATTCGCGAAAAACCATGGGGGGGGGGTCCATCCGACCCCCCCCTACACATGCGAGGGTTAAGGTCCTAGGTCAACCGGTGACCTCTGAGGTCAGGTCAAGTGCTCCAAGGTACGGTTCAGTTTTTGATGAATAACTTCGCAAAAACGGCCGCAGAGCCACGATTTTGAAAGCATTGTGTTTGCCTCGCTCAAGCGCGTCGAATGATATACTTTTTGTTTGGGTCAGGTCAACTTAGGGTATTGACCTCAGGTCAAGGTCAGGTCAGCACCCCCAGGTCACGAAGTTGGTTGAAAGAGATCATGTCGCATATCATTCGATTCGGCAGGTCTTCCTGAGTCCATTGGTGGCTTTCCCGAGTCGCTAGCTCAATTTGATCGGGAGTTATTGACGGAAAACTAATATGACCTTGATGACGTCATAAATGACGTCACGCAAGGTCAACATTGCAAAAGTGAGGCATCTAATCTGGCAAAGAGTGCATCAAATCACGATTCTGTGTGCTTGAGATAGTTGGAGATCGTTCCCGGCGCCAGAAGAGCAGTTTTCATTTTTCCCCATTGACTTACAATGGTGAGGTCACGAAAATGACCTGACCTCATATGACCTTTAGGAAAAATCCGAGATATACGAGATGTGAGACTCATAATGGATACTAGATTCTGCAAGTTTCATTTCTCTGTGACATCTCCTCTGGCAGAGAGGGCGTTGCGAAGTTGCGACATCTGAAGACCGTGCAGAGGTTCACTTATGACGTCATAGGTCAGTGACCTGACCTTACCTAAAAATGCGGTTAGTGTCAAAAGATCCGGCTTGAATCAAAGGTCAGGTATGCCAAGTTTCAGCTCTCTACCTCCAGCGTGTTCGGAGCTATCGCAAAAAAACCTATGGGGGGGGGGGCGGCACCCGCCCCCCCTCGGCCGGCGAGGGTTATGAAAGGACAAGAGTTTTGTAAGATAACATCGGTTGCATAATTGGTTTCAAAGCCTAATGTTCAGCCTCGATTGGATAGTGGTGAATCAGCGTGTGCCGTGTCTCTGCATTTTTTTCTGAAATCGTGTTTCTTTATCCTCTTTTTAGCCCGCTCTGTCTGTCTGTCCGTTTGTCTGTCTGTCTGTCTGTCTGTCTGTCTGTCTGTCTGTCTGTCTGTCTGTCTGTCTGTCTGTCTGTCTGTCTGTCAGTCTGTCTGTCTGTCTGTCTGTCTGTCTGTATGTCTGTCTGTCTGTCTGTCTGTCTGCCTGTATGTCTGTCTGTCTGTCTATCTGTCTGTCTCTGTCTCTGTCTCTGTCTCTGTCCCTGTCTCTGTGTCTGTCTGTCTGTCTGTCTGTCTGTCTGTCTGTCTGTCTGTCTGTCTGTCTGTCTGTCTGTCTGTCTGTCTGTCTGTCTGTCTGTCTGTCTGTCTGTCTGTCTGTCTGTTTGTCTGTCTGTCTGTCTGTCTGTCTGTCTGTCTGTCTGTCTGTCTCCCTCTCTCTCCCTCTCTCTCCTCCTCTCTCTCTCTCTCTCTCTCTCTCTCTCTCTCTCTCTCTCTCTCTCTCTCTCTCTCTCTCGGTGTGTCCGTGTGTTTGTTTGCTCATCTGACATCTCGGTGGCGGCTCTGTCCGGTTTCCAGACGTGCCGATGTGTGTATCGGACACTCCTACTGTCCTGGAGGCAGCCCGAGGTGACAGTCTAAATGTCAGCTGTCATGTCGCCTCCTTCCCCAAACCCCTGCGCTTCCGATGGAGCTTCAACAGTTCAGGTTGGTTGAGAAACTCAAATACCATCCAACTCGTGCAGTCTCGACATCATTTAATTTTCCTCCTTCTGCTATTCATCGGTAACTTTGCGCTCAAGAGAAGTTTACTGTGAAACTAGATCAATAGCGCGCGCGCTGCGTCTTATTTGGACCGGGCGCGGCATTGAGTAGTATGTACACACAGTAATTTTGAATGGTACCCGGACCTGAGTCTAGCAAGTCTCAGACAAAGAACTCGCTGCCCTGAGTCACAGTATCGCGGCATTGCCGCCTACGGGCAATGCGCCGGAGAAAAAACTGACGACTATTGAGTGAAAGGATATTTTTCTTTTTACTGCATTCCCTAACGCAAGCTTAACAGAAGTGACGTTAAGTCAGCATAAGTTAGTGCACTTTTCGTATAATATTAACACTATTGAAAGCAGTGTTTGAGTAGTCTCAGATGAAATGAAACCAAGAAATTCGTTTACGTTTTAAGAACTTAAGCCTTCAGTGGTATGTTAAGCGTTCTTGTGCTAGTTTAGTGTGGTTAATCCGATTGCCGTCCTCTCCAGACGCCCTGATACCACAGCGGGAGTTCAGTCGCAGCCTGGTGAACGGCAGCACGCTCAGCTATACGCCTCAGCTGCCGTCAGAGTTCGGCACGCTCCTCTGCTGGGCGACCAATGAGCTCGGCGAGCAGCGCGCGCCCTGCGCCTACCTCGTCCAGCCGGCGGGTGAGTGGTGCCGATTGTATTCCGGCACGTATGTGAAGACACTACTGAAATGAATCGTGAATATATTGAAATGTGCTGTGAATAAACTCCTATCATGCACGCAGTTCATGTACATACCAAAATCTTAGTCGTATCCTGTTCATATTTTTATGAATTTATATTATCATAAAAATTGATCTTTTTTAACAATCAGCTCTTGTGGGACTTTGACGTCGCCGTGTCTCGTCATGTAAGTACATATAACTACATACATCCTTCCGCTGTGCCCCTTAGACGTGTGTGACAATCCGTCTGGTCGGGACGTTATTTCATCGAACTATGATGCCAATCCATCGTTCCCCTTCCCCCCGGAGGTGCCCGACACCCCGTCGAACTTCTGACACCCCTCCATCTTCCTCAGACGTTCCCGACCCTCCATCGGACTGCGTCATCATCAGTCGCACCGAGACCGCTCTGGTGGTCCGCTGTCAGCCAGGATTTGACGGTGGTTCCCGGCAGATGTTCATGATGGAGGTGTGCGGGATCAGCGGCGGTCAGCAAAGGAATGTGACCTCAGCCAGCGCCAGGTGGGTGCTGGGAGCTGGGTGCTGGGTGCTGGGTGCTGAGTGCTGGGTGTTGAGTGCTGGGTTCTGAGTGCTGGGTGCTGGGTGCTGCGTAGTGAGTGCTGGGCGCCGAGTGCTGAATGCTGCGTGTTGGTGTGTGGTGGGTGACCGCTTCTGGTGCTGTTTCTTCTGGTGCTTAGTGATCAAGCAAATAAAAGAGGTCTACATTAATAAAGCCGAAAGTTTTATATCGGAGCAATTTCCGGAAGTGAAATGAACTCAATCGTTATCGTTCAACGAACATCCTTCTTCAACCTTCACTTATTGAACAAGAACATTTCAGTCTTAGCGCCCTTTTCAAACGGACGTATGATCAATGAAAGCCAGAGCAACGTTCGAAATGACTAAAAATAAATTATGAGCCAGTAAGACCTAACGAGCAGCCTTTGTTCACCGAAAGCATTCAAAGCTTTTCATGTGCCCACACAGATATACGTATGTGCGATGTGCAATTTGTGCATGACTTATTATTTCAAAATAGATTATCATCATAAATTGCTGCCAACGAAATTGCCATCATGATAATATTCATGTTTTGAAGAAAACAATCGGTGAAAGTTTCGGTGAAGGAGTGAAAAAGTGAAGGTGAATTTTTCACCGCCGAAGGCTTAATTTGATTGTTCCAAATGCACCTTTCAGTACAGTCGATAGTCGATGCAGGTGTTTGTGGATTAGTCTTGATGATTAAACTCTGTTTGAACTATGTGTAAAAGACACCAATATTCATTACATTCACATCTCAGGCCTCATTTTTTCCACTACTGAGTTTGAAGGGCAGTGAGGGTGCCGATGCGATTGCAGGAAACGTCCATATTACCATCAGATTAAGCCGGGCGTTAAAAACGAGCTTCTCGACGATGAATGGGGCATTTCCGAACATTAGCACTCAATCGACAGCGTACGTACACAGTCCGTCATAATGTAGGAATTCCATCGCTCCTAGGAAATGACTTCATCACCTCACGAATGCAAATGTCGGAAATTTTATCCCTCTCTCGGATGGAGCGACGAACAAACAATTTAAGCGCCGGAAACTTCTCCAATGGAAATCTCGGAGAGTTCTCGCGACTTTTGTGAACTGTGGGCGGAGCGGGCTGTTGTTTATCGAGACTATAGGTTGGAATTCAGGCTCATTCGGATGTGGTTTTGCCGGATCACCACCTCTGTTATTGGGAGGCATTGGCATACATACAAGAGAGTGCTGAATAGGAAGGTGTGCTGCCGGTAAATTGACTCACGATTTCAACGGTGAATATAGACAGTGGATTGTGGAACAATCGGCTTAGGGACGGCGTGGTCGACGAAAGGTTTGCATTGGTAGCGCTAAACAGTTTAAACAGTTTATCAGCATTATCGGGGGCTATGAATGGTGTAATGACTATGTATATCTCTATACTATGCCTAATGATCTAAAAGAGGCTCAGGTAGACGTTTTGTGCTCAGGTTGCCTTTCGAGTTTCCACAGCTGTGATCAAATCAGTTTCTGTTTCCCGCAGACTGCGAGCGAGTGGCCTCGATCCCGGTCAGCAGTACCACCTCTCCGTGTACGCCGTCAACAGACACGGCAGCAGCACGGCTGCCACCCTCGTGGCCAGCACGGCGGCAGACGAACGGAACGCCCAACAGCACCACGGTAAGCGCTGGCAGCCTCTGTTCAATAATCAATGGTTTGAATGTGGTGCTATATGGGGCCGCATGTATTTATATCGACTGGTGTCTGTTGGATACGAATGATTTTAAAACTAGGATTAACCCGCGCCCCAGTGGCGGTCTCCGCCAACTTCGCCCTAGGGGGGGGGGGGGCATATGTTATCACCCACGTCTAACTCAAAAACTAAGAGGGCTAGAAAGACGCGGTAAAAAGCAGTCGATAGCTCTTGATGCGTACGTTTGAAAGTATTTCAGTCATTTTTCATCTTAGAGCAATATTGGGGTCACCAGAGGTCATCAAAGGTCAAAAGTTGCGAATTGTCATTATATTTTTCAGCAAACATGCCATTATCTCAGGAACTATGATAGCTAGAAAAACGCTGGGAAAAGCAATCGATAGCTTTTAAACTCTTCTTTTGATAAGGTCACGGTCAAAAATGACCTCAGGTCAACGGTTTAGCCTCCAGAGGGCAAAAACTCCAAAAATAGCTGTTTTTAAGAAAAGTGTTTTTCGACAATAACTTTTGACTAAAAAAAGCTAGGTCATTTCTAATGCCAGAATCGTGTTCCTCTCGCCGAGATGCGTCGAATGAACTATAAGTTGACCTTGAAAGGTCAACTTCAAAATTTGACCTCAGGTCAAGGTCATGACCTGACCGAAAAAGGTCATGTTGCATATCAGTCGATGCGTCTCGGCAAGACAAACACAATGAGGCCAACCCCAGCGTTCTATCTCTTTCCAATCGAGAGTTATTGGCAAAAAACTGTTTGTAGCCTCAAATGACCTCGGATGACCTTTCAAGAGGCTATCAGCAAAAAAGACACCTTGGTCGTCACGGGTGGTCCAAATCACTGTTATCCTGAAATATTTGGACTGTTCCTATGCGTACACACGGATCTAGAGGCATTTTCGTTTTTCTCCATTGACTTATAATGGAAAGGTCACGCCACTGACCTGACCTTAGGTCACGCATATAAAAAATCCGAGATATACAAATTGTAGGCACCCATAACATCATGTAATCCACCAAGTTTGAAACCTCTCTGACAAACACTGCAGGCTGGACATGATTGCAAACTTTTTTAGGCTTGGTCAGTTAACTTGACCTAGTGACCTGACCTGACATGACCTGGGGTCAAAAATTTCACACATTGTCCAAAATTGATGTACCAAAAGCTACCCCAAGCGGCGCGGCGCTATGCGCCGCGGTTTTTTATTTATACGAAAAAAACGCGACAGGGTGGTAACATATGCCCCCCCCCCCACTGGGGCGAAGGTTAAGAGCCTCGGATATACATGGCTTGATTTTCCCATACAAAGCTTCGCATGCCTATACGTGTTCCAAAGTAAGACCACTTATTCGATCATATGTATGTCCTCGTATCCACCAATTAGACAGAGGACATGAATATTACGATACCAAATTGCTCTCACTCAGCCCTGCCTTCCGTCCCCCTTGTTGCTGACCCGGGCCCATCCGTGCGCTCTCCGCCAGGGTCTGTGTCCGAGCTGCTGCAGCTGACGCCGATCCTGGGTGTTCTGATTGGCCTCGTCACCGCACTGGTGCTCACCGCGGCCATTCTGGTGGGCACGCGTCGCTGCCGCGCCCGGCCGACCGCTAAGGTAGCATGGGCAGTGGGCACAAAGGGAGGCCGGCGCATAGCGGCATGTGGGGGAGCCGCGGGCGGGGAATACGGGAATACATGGGAAACTCAGGGACACGAATGATTTCCGCTGGTTTCTAGGATTGGTAATTGCATATGTTACGTCAATTTCAAATGAATATACATAATTCGTTATTTTCTGCAAATCTTGAAGCGTCAAGGGAATAAGTAACCTATAGGTTTTTTTTTTAACTAACCTATAACATATAAGCTTGTAACCTATAAGCAATAGCGGCGGAACACCTTCAATTAAGGGGGGGGGGCTATGCCGACTTTTGGTCCCATTCTTTCCGCAACGCCCATGGGGCTAATGTTAAAATGCCAAAATCAAAGGGGGCACGGTGCCCCGATGCCCTCGCCGTTCCGCCACCTATGCCTATAAGTTGTTTTTATGTTTTTTTTTGCTAGTGCGTACGTATGAGATAACGGCGATCGTATCTTGGTTGCCATCCAACTGTTCAAGCAGCATCATTTGAAATCAATGATCCGACTTATTTCAGGATAACTCTCAGGGAGTGTCTCATGTTCAACTGGTGAATAACTTGAGTGACTTAGGAAGTCTGGAAGAGAAACATGACCCTGACCTGATACCACAAAAGACAGGTGAGCAATTTTCTTGTGTTTCTCTATCAGTTGAGTGTTATTTGATCGAAAACTGAGAAGTAACAATTACAGGGAAAATTTAAAGTGGTACTCAATGCTCCTGCCCATTCGTTCATTTTTCCCGCATTGCATTTTTGCCATAGCATTTGATGATAAGTAGGATTCGATATGGCGTCATCATCGTCTAATAACAGCGTTGGTGCATTCATTTCAGAATGCATCGACCCAGAAGAGAAGCACATGATTGAGCGGCTACGCAACAGTCGTTTTCCTCCGCCACCTGCGCGCTTCGGAGACAGCTCTGCCCTGTCTCCTAGTGAGACACGTCTCTTGTCTCCCAGTGAGACGCGTCTCTTGTCTCCCAGTGAGACGGGACTGCTGTCTCCGACCTCGAGGACGCTCCCACGTCCCGAGCGGGTGTCATCTTGTGGAACTCAGACAGCCTCACTCAGCCCGCGAGGGGGTCACAAGGTAAGAGCGACACAACTGTCAGATTATAACAGGGGCCCGAGCAGGGGACACAAGGTAGGGCATTAGGACTGCCAGTTTATGACAGTGGTCCGAGCAGGAGACACAGGGTAGGGCGCCACAGCTGCCAAATTATAACAGTGACCCGAGCAGGGCACACAGGGTAGGGCGCTACAGCTGCCAGATTATAACAGCGGCCCGCGCAGTGGAAACAAGATAGGGCATTAGGACTGCCAGTTTATGATAGTGGCCCGAGCAGGAGACACAGGGTTAGGGCGCCACAGCTGCCAAATTATAACAGCGGGCGCTAGGAGCTAGGTAGGGCGCTAGGACTGTCAGTACATAAAGGCGCTGTACTTACGGGCGTATGGAAGGACGTCGGGGCAGTAGTGCTACGAGTACGACTGTCAAAACATGGCAGTCGTGCACCATTCCTGCAGTCTGCACCATCGCCGATTTCTTCCTGCACTTTACCCATTGACCCCAAGTCTTGCTCTAAAGTGGAATGAATTACGGATCATTGTCATGGAGCTGCCAATGTCAGTCTTCCTCACCAATATGGATGACCCAATATTGTCGAAAATATATTTGCATTGGGCGCGGCTCTCGCCAGCCATAACTTCTCACTGCTTTGCTAAAGTTGAAGTCGTGATCGCCGTCATATTGTATACCTAGCATAATGCAAATAAGATGCTCTTACGCACACGTGGTTATGTATGTACGCATGTCAATAACCCATGCCCTCATTCTTTTTAGCTGAATAGTTCGTGAAAGCAATGCCCACAAATGATCATGGCTACTTGTAATCTGCTCAGCATGCGTGAAATTGATTGATAAGAATTGAGAACTTATGTTTGACGACGGTAGTAAGGCTAGAAAGATTACTTTAATCCCATTTCCCATTGAGAGGTCGAAGACAATCAAATGGTTGCTATGGCACCAGACCGGTAGTGCAAATGCTGCTCTCCGTTACCGCGCACAAAACGCCGCTCTTCCTGAAAGCGTGCCGACCCATCCTTGCAGCGATTTTCTCGATTGAGTTCGGGAGAAGATTCAATTTTCTGTCCGCCGGCTGTATTGACACTGAAACTGATTGGCCCGTTAGTGTTGCTCCACGATCGCACGTCTCGTCAATCGTCAAGTTATGTCAACATAGAACATGCGACTATGGGCTTCCCTTCCCGGCAGGCCCGGCGCCGGTGCCGCGGCCGGCGGTCGTAACGGCACCCGGCGCCGAGGGACCGTCTCTTCTAAATCTGGCAGTTGGCAGCACCATCCTCTGTTCCAATGACGTCATTTGTGAAAAACGTCCGCCGCTCGATTCTGTTGACAAGAGTGAGAGCTGGCAGTGGCCGGTCCGAACTCGAAGTGCGATCAATGGTCTCGGACCGGTAGTGTCTCGGGCTGGTCCGAGACGTCGGTGGTCAGACCCTGGTCCGGAGCTGGATAGAAGAACCGAGCAGCGCCGCTCCAAATACACCTCCCGGCGAATGGGGCCGCACCACCGGCAATCGTACTTCGTGATTAGTTGCGAACTTCTGCTCCAGATGGCCAATCGACGTAAATGTCCCTCTCGAAAATGGTTGTGTGTCGGCCACCTGGAGATTAATGGTTTCCACCATCGACTGGGAGATAATACGAACGCCCAACTGCAACAGCAATATCGCCCAGAAATGCCACGATAAATACGGATGGCCGAGGTATAACTTGTATAGCGTCAGATAAATGGTTTAAATTCGAAAAGGATGAATGTTTCGACAATGCATTATATTTTGAATTATAAAGATTAAGTAAGCCGTCCTATTTTTTTTTCTCCACCACCGTCAATTGTAAAGGCTACACACGCTTGCAGCTGGCCGTTCAAGGAGCTACTCCATTTCTTCCATGGAAATCAAGTTTATTATTCCGAAATGCTCGTATTTATGCTGGAGTGAAAACAGTGCACTAGCTTAGTCACTTGGTCCGAGGACATTCGGTTGTTCTGTTGATTTCCGAATGATTCCTCCCCCCCCCCCCCCGCCATCTCTAAACGGGGAGTATGATGAGATATCACGTTCAATGTGACTGTCATCCGTCGTGATGGAGCTCACGCCAGACACCTCGGCCTATACGAGGTCAGTATGGGGACAGTGGGTCGAAGCCGCAAGATGAGAGGCTTCGGCTGCCGCAGTGGCTTCATTAGCACTGTACGTGGTATGAAAGTCAACGCAGTCGACGCGACGTACTTTGAGAGGTTCCGATAATGCTATTACGATCAGAAACGTGCCTGGTGTGGGTATTGGAAAGCTTTCCAAACTACCAACAGGCTGACTGTATGAGACTGAAAAGAAATCAGCTCCCTAACCCAGCTCTCAACTCAATCCATATTTCTAACGTTGGCAAAGTCGGTTCCGGCGCAGTCAGTCTCCCCGTCATGGCTTGAGCTCTAAAGGACTACTGATACCGAAACCGTCTGGTGAAAGGAGACACATACCTATTCTGGCTCTCAGGAAGACAACTAGGCCTACTGCGCTTAGAACAGTCCTGAGACTCAGTAGTCAGTCAGACGTGCTGATATATTTTTAAAGCGTGCAATGGTTTGAATTTAGGCGCACATTTATATCTCCATGTTTCAGCAAGAAAACACGAATAACATAATAGTTTTCAGGTGTACATATTTAACTAGAATGTTACCGCAAACACGTTTTACTCAAGCGGAATCAACAGCACTTGTGAGTTGCGACCTTCGTGGCTTCAGGATCATGACCACCGGAATATTCACTCATCACACTTCCCTTTCAATAACAACGGAAAAATTAACGAGGACGGCATTGCAGCTGCCCACTTATCTTCCTCTTAGCATGCTTATTGCACTAATAATAGGCTCACGTATGTGCATAAACCTGCACATATAATATAAATATGCACATATTATATAATATAAATATGTGTCTGCCATTTTGATTTTTGCTTTTTTTCAGAGCACGACGCTGCAGCTGATGCGCCCATCTAGGCGGAGGAGCTCGTCATCTCTCCAGCAGGTGCCGTCAGTAAGTGGTGGTCACCTGCTCACAAAGTTCTAGTGCTCAAAACGGTCACTTTTGATGTCGCTGGAGCTCATGGCTACCGTTTTTGTGTGGACAAAAAGCCTGAACACGGAGCTACGATGAAATACAGTGACCGGTGGGGTGTATGTTCCTGAACTCTTCAATGAAACTATTGACATGTTTGTGACATTTATTGATGTTTATAAAAGTGTGATCCTGAAGTGCATACTGTGCAAATGTGACATGACGATATTCGCGCTGAATTTCGTGATCTCCCTGACTGTCAGGACAGGTATTTAGGTGTGATGGACCAATGATTCAGGATTGTTAACCCGCGCCCCACTGGGGGGGGGGCTATTTATAGCCCCCCCTCCCGTTTTTCTGCAATAACTTCCAAACCGCTTGACGGATCGACGCCAAACTTTCAGTACCTTCGGCTGCATCAATTTGACACCTTGTGTCAAAATTTGAACTTCGTAGCTACCATAGGTCGGCCGGAAATGACGTCAGAGTGACGTCATGTTCGTCCGATTTCGACGCAAAACATTGAACCACGGCAATCGCTCCCAAGAGCTCAGTTTTTAAGCTAGATCCAATTTCTTTGCATGAAAGGACTCAGAATTGACCGCGCTATCAAACTGCTATCTCGGATTTTCAAAATTTTGAAAATTTCGAAAATTTTATATAATAATATTCAAAATTTATATTTTTATATTTTTTTCAAAAAGTTTTTGACTTTTCGAAAAAACCGGAATATATGTGACAGAACGCATGATTATGACTAAGTCTAGCAAGTTTTAGCTAAATATCTTCAAAAATGGCCAAGTTATACGCATTATTGCAAAAAATTCACAATTATTAATTTTTCAAATCAATTTTTTAGTACGTATTTGGCATCGTACACCAATATAAATGGCACCATCGTGTTCCTGAGCTCAAACTGCATCCAATAGACACCTTTTTTGTTGAAAAATTTCAACTTCAAAATTTGACCTTTTTTGACCTGAAAGTGACCTGACCTAAGCTAATTTCGACTCAAAATGACCTTGAATGACACAGACGACATCAAATTCGAAATCTATGGCCTAAATGGACCATAAAACATGTGTCACGTGACCGACGCATGATATAATATTTTCGTGACCTGTGATGACCTGACCCTGACCTGAAAATCAAAGTACAAGTTTGGTACCCTCAAGGTATCTAGAGCATCTGTTCACGAGTGTGGAAACCAAAAATGAGCCTGATCTGACTTGTAAGACGGCGGCCAGAGCCCAAAATGTGAACAAGCCAAAGTGCTAATAATTTTTACTTTGACCTGACCTGTGACGTCATCGGTGACCTCGAGGTCTATGAAATTAGGTTTCGTTCGACAGTTTTTCCGGGGCTATCAGACGCCGTTTGAATTTTGACGATCGGCCCAGTAGTTTCGGAGTTAGGAGGGGGGGCTATGAATAGCCCCCCCCCAGTAGGGCGTGTTATACACAGACCCCAGTGGGGCGCGGGTTAATGTTGTTCATCCCATTTATCACGCTATCCATGCTACGTGTAGTGCTTGCGGCTTGCTAGCATTCCATGCCACATGTAAATACCTACATTAAAAAGCTGTTTATGTAAATATATTTGCGAGCCTGCACAGCATACCTAAGCACCTCTAAAATCTACACCCTTATGTGATGTGAAATGTTATTTGTTGTTTCTCACAAATCTAGTCTCTCCAAATGAGTTTGTATAGCTATTCATCGCTGTTCATAATCGCTCATCAGCAATCAATAATTACTTATACAAGAAATGCTTTTAAAATGCACACTGACAACCAAAACGATTCTCTATTCCCTTTGATCATGGTGTGTCATGCTCCTATAACTCTGCCGTTTTCCTGGCGGAATGCCCTTAAGATACTCAAATGATTCCTCAAATGATTCCTTTTAAGCATATCAGGGGTTTTGGTCTAAAACAACACCCTGATCATTTTCT